AGCCTGCATTTGCCAACCCGGACAGCCTAGACTCCTTCTACTTGCGACACTTACTTCTGTTCTGTTCCCCACCCAGTATGTGATGGACTCTTTCAGATATTCTGGCCTGTCTCAAGCGAGACAAATTCAGTGAAAAATGAAGTGTCCACATTTGGACCAGAGCATGAAAGGAGAAACAAGGCCTCATGGTCAGCATGATGGTGGTGGCCAAACCCTTCCCCCCAGGTGGGATGAACCATGCTGGGGGTGAGAATGCAAGGTCCTAGGTCGGCCAAAGCATCTTCCTTCACGGCTGACTGGGGTGTTGGGGTCTCACTACCGCAAACTAACGACACGGCCGTCAGTGGTGGACGGCAGCTGCAACAGACACGGAGTCAGCCCTTTACTGCCAGCATGGGTTAAAAGTAAAGGCCGGGGCAGGGAGGCCTGCACGGCTGCTGAGGCAAACCACAGACCCGGCTCTGAATGCCCACTGGCTGAAGCAGAGTGGAACCTACGGTCCCCTTTAGCGGTCCGTTTCTCCACCAGAGCCAGATGAGCCAGCCTCTTCGGAGAAGGCCATGTTGTCCTGATACTCAGAAAAACCAGCCTCGTACAGGGAACAAAAGAGTGGCATGGATTTTAGACCCGATACTGCCCCTTTATGAAGGCAAAGTACAGTAAATGGCAAGGGAAAGTTGAAAGCAAAAAAAAAAAAACAAACAAACAAACAAAAAAAAAACTGACTGCTTCCTCCAACAGCGTCCCCGACAGCTGCTCACCCCCGAGCCGGCCACTTCTTCACCAGTGCCCGCCGGCCAGGCAGCGCCGTCACGCACGTCTCACAGCGACAGCCAGGAACTGCGTGCCGAGCACGTTTGTGTAAAAGCAGGAATCGAGCAAGATGCTGCAGACTTTGACTTTCCAAGTTTAATACTCCATGAAAAGAATCCCTCAGCAGCAGCCTAATTCAATTCGCATCTCACTTCTTCAAAACAAACAAACAAATCTAATAAGGGCGCATTTGTCACCAAATATAAGGAGGACCAAACAGGTTCCTCAAAGCAAGGATTTTAACAGGTATCAAACACCAGTGGGTGATGTGCTAACAAAGCAAATATTCCAAAAAATTAGAAAATAAATAGGTGACTAGGACAATACATGGATCAAGGCAGCTGTTAAGTTTTTGCTTTTTAAAGCGATGGAGACAGCACGGAGGGCGATCTAGCTATTTCCAATGCAGGGTGTGCACAGCCCACCTTTTCAGACGCAACAACATGCTCACAGGGCAGTACAAGAGAAAAAGGAAAAATGGAAAAGCAGAACAAGCGAAAATTAGAAACACACAAGAACAAAAATGACTTTGACCGCCTGTGCAAGAACTTACGTGAGTGTGATGAGGACAGTGACTTGGGGTCGGTGAGACCCACCCTCATCTCCTGCTCCAGGGAAGGCAGGGGCCTGTGGGGAGCAGCGCTGCCGGGGGAACCCCAATGTGGTCAGAGCCCCAAACCAAAACCCCACCTACATGCGTCCAGATAGCTTTTGAGCTACAAAATGTGGTCGCATTTCAGGCTGGACAGTTATACTCCCTCCCACCAAGAGTAGCAGGAGAGAATTAGGCTCTGCTCCTGCACCAAAGCATGCTTTGATAAATTAATGACTGTGGAATAGTAAAAGGAACAATGGAGTAAAAGTGACTGGAGGAGAACGTGCTTGACCCGAGTTCACTGGCCGCGTTATCTCACTGACCTTCAGATGCTGGCTGGGCGCTTACTGTACCAAAACAGACAGACCCACCAGGAGGGAGGTTTAATGCGCTGCTGTATTTTGATACCGAGAGCCATGCCTGGTACACGAGGTTCTGGTAAACAATGGTGACACTGTAGACCACTATGGGCTAAGCACACATCCAGCTACTCCACCAAATCCCAAGGACAGACTTCAAAAGGCAAAAACAAGCTGGCATTCTCTGCTGGGTCTGCAGACTCAGAGCCAAGCAGTTGCTGAGCAAAAATGTCACCAGTGCCTCCTATGACAAAAGAGGAAGTACTGGCCAGGGGGCTGGGGCATGGCTCCAGGCTTCCACTGCTCACCCACCAGTCTGTCCAGGGGGAGAAGTTGGTCCCTGCTTACGTTGCACTGATGCACCTACCTTGACTAATGCCTGGGGGCTCAGCAGGTGGTGACAGGTGAGGTGAACGGAGCCAGTCTGGGAGAAGCCCGATGCTGGCAGCTGTGCCTTCAGCAGTGCCCAGGCTCCTAAATTTGCCACCTCAACTCCATGGAGCAGAAGGGGAGTGCGGACATGTAGATCACAGGTCCCTGTGAGGACAAGTACAGATCATGGCCACGACATGCTTTGCCCCTTCCTTAAGCCATAGAGGAATGTCCTGGGAGGAACTGAAAATTCATCCAGAGTTCGCCAGGCACCACACGCAGGTGGGACTCGGGTCCCCTGTGCCTCTCACTCACAGGGCTGGTCTGGACATTCTTTTTATCAATTCTCTGGCATCTTCTCCCCCAACTGACCAACAACCAGAAAGTAGAATCTGACCTTAGGTAAGTTCAAGAATCACAGAGCACCGCCTCCACAGCGGTCCCGGCAACACGTGCCACGTCCTCCAACCGTCACCTGTGGGTTGCGATCAGCGCTCTCCGGACTCAAGGCCCGAGGCCGTAGGCCGGGGGGACACAAATTCCCTCACTCTCCCCAGCAAAGGGGGACCACCTCTCGGCAAAGGCATCTCAACCTCTTCTGCCCGAGGGACAGCACGATAGACACACGGGGAAATAGAGCAGAAGTTGGGGGGGGGTAGGCAGCCCAGAAGAGCTCATCTGCACTTCCGAGGCAAAGTGAGGCCTTTGACCTAATCACAGGGACAAAGTGAGGATGAACCTTTCCCTGCTCTGTCCCATACTCCGTGACACACTTTTCCCTGTGTAAGGAGTTCATTCGGACGTCCCTGGCGGTGTTTCTGATGTCCTAAGCTGGCATGGTGGCTGTCGGGCATGAAGAGAGGGCCTGAGCCGTGCAGGTGCTGGGCCTGGGAGGCAGGAGACACCGGCTCCACCCCCAGCTCAACAAGAGCCTCGTTCTGCATCTCGGGACTCAGCATCTCATCTATAATCAAAGGGATGAGACTGTCCCAGGACAGGCTGCCAAACAGAAATGAAATGAGATCCATGTAAAGAAAGTTTCCCAGTTGCCACATTTAAAAAGTAAACAAAGAAAGAAAGAAACAAACAGAAAACAAATTCTAGAAACTGATTATTCTACTGTATGTAAATTAGTATCATTTTGACATGTAATCAATATAGAAAGTAAGAAGATAGATTACATTCCTTTTACTAGATAAATCTCAGCGTCTGATGTGCATTTGACCTACAGCACATGTCAGCTCAGACCAGCCTCCTCCCCAGCGCTCCTAGCATCAGTGGCTGTGGCTAATTTATTGGACAGCAACTCCAGGGGTCCCACCAGGGTTCCTGGCTGAAAAGCGGAGGAAGTGTCCACACTAACCCTAAAAGGATCTCTCTGAAAGAAAGGTGGATTCACTTTTAAATGTCTGTATATCGGCGGGCTTCACCTCCCTCCAACCTTGGCTACAAGACAGCCCTCTTCCTGCTGATCCCTTCCTGGATGTAGGGAAGCAACCCGGCACACAGCCAGGGTGACCGGGCCTCAGGTAGACTTACCTGCTGTCTGTGTCCAGTCCCATGATGTCCTCCTTCTCAAACAAGGTACAGAGGAGGGGGATCATGTCCCCAGAATTGTCGGGGGCCCTTTCCAACCACTTGGACTTGAGCAT